AAAAAAAAAAAAAAAAATCAAAAAATATTTCCAACATTTCTGTGTTGAGTTTTTGTGGATTGACTCCTAAAGGGCATATATCTTTAAATTTCTCAAGAGATTCAGTTTGTCTCTTAGTGACTTTAATAAGTTGTGTGTGTTGCAATTACTGATATATTTCAACCCATTTTTCCAACTTTTGCTGTTTCCCACCCGTTGTTTCTTTGCCTTACCCGGTATACTCGTCCTTCTCGAGCATCTGTTGAATTAACCACATTTTCCTTTTCTAGTCTATTTTTAAAATGCCAATCAGCATTCTTATGTTCTTAATATGAAATATTGATCTGTTTTTTTAAAAGAATGGTCCTGTTTTTTCCCCATAAGAAAGTATGGAGAATTTGGCCCCTTTTTGCTTTTTATAGGATTTTTCAACTTTGGTGTCTTTTTGATATTTGGAAAAACAAAGACAATAGATAAGATCATTTTATTTTCATTGTTTGTTTGGGGCTACATTCACCAGGTTTGGCCACCAGGATTATTCTAGTATATCAGACATATTGGGTAGCGACCATGTTTTTCTTTGCTGTGGAACTGGTCTTACGTCATGAGAAGTAGACCAGTTTTCTAACACATCCAGCAGGATTTCCTGAGTCTTGATCATTTCTCTTAACATCCTTTTCCCCTCTGTGGTCTAAACAGATAAACAGTTATCAACTTTTCTATTTTCTGAGACACTCATTTCAACTTTATCAGACGGGGTCTAGAAGGTTAGAAAAGCTCATGGCTTCGTATTGGCAGGGCACAAGCTCTGTTTGTCTTGGAATTAGATGCTGCTGTCTCCTGAGCCGGCCTCGGGTGCCTCTCCCTCCACCTGTTGCTTGGCATTCAACCCATTCGAGACTTCTGGACCTGTCCTCTGACATGTGATTCTTTCCTTTCCTTCCCTGTCAACTCTGCTCATTTTATATGGGAGAGACACAGATCACTGAACTTGAATCTGGTAGCCTGCTCTGGCATAGGGCAGCTGCTACTCACCTGTTCATCAGCCCGTGGCTCAGGAGGTCTTTGGGCAAAGACAACCTGTATTAGTTTCCTGGGGCTGCCATGACAAATTCTGTCACCCAGGGTACAGTGCAGTGACATCATCATAGTTCATGGCAACCTCAAACACCTGGACTCAACTGGTCCTCCTGCCTCAGTCTCTGAGTAGCTGGGACTAGAGGTGCCTGCCTCAACGCCTGTTATATTTTTCTATTTTTAGTAGAGACGGGGTCTCACTCTTGCTCAGGCTGGTCTCCAACTCCTGAGCTCAAGCAATCCACCCACGTCAGCCTCCCAAAGTGTTAGGATTACAGGTGTGAGCCACTGCACCCAGCCAGAAAGAGTGGCTCTAAACACAGAGGTTTATACCTCAGAGTTCTAGTAGGCCAGGAGTCTGAAGTGAAAGTGTTGTCAGGATTGGTCACATCTGGGGGCTCTGAAGGAAGGTCTGCTCCAGGCCTCTCTCCTGGCTGCTGGCGGTGGCACTTGGTCCCCGAGGGCTCTTGGCTCGTAGGTGCATCACTCCAGCTTCTGCCTCTGTCTACACAAGGTGTTCTCCCTCCTTGTCTCTGTATCTCTGTGTAAGTCTCCCTCTCATTTCTCTTACAAAGATACCAGTCATGGGGTTTAGCACCTACCCTAAGCCAGTATGCCCTCACATTAACTCAGTTATACCTGTAAAACCCTCTTTCCAGATAAGATCACATTTGGAAGTACTTGGATTAGGACTTGAGCATTTCCCTTTGCGGTGCACAGTTTAACCCATGACACTGCCTCAGTCCCCCTTTCCTCTCTCCCAGCCAGGACGTTTCCTTGAGGCAGGAACAAAACATGTTCTTGGGCATCTAAGCCATCTTGTATCACATGGCCTTTCTGTACAGGAATTATAAGGATTTGATGCATTAGAACTTTTACATTAAAATGTTCCATTTTTTAAAAAAGAATGTGAGTGCCAGCCCCATATACCGAGGGTGGCGGGTTCAAACCCGGCCCCAGCCAAACTGCAACAAAAAAATAGCTGGGCATTGTGGCAGGGAACTGTAATCCCAGCTCCTCTGGAGGCTGAGGCAAGAGAATCACCTAAGCCCAAGAGCTGGAGGTTGCTGTGAGCTGTGACACCACAGTACTCTACTGAGGGCAATAAATTGAGACTCTGTCTCTACAAAAAATTAAATAAAAAGAACGTGGGAGAAGTGAAGGTTGAATAGCAATACCCCAGCACCTTATTTTAAGCATTTTATTTATTTGAAACCATTTGCCCTATGAAATCTGTCCGCTAAAAGTTTTTTGGCTTTTCTAATGAAAATTATGGCCTGAAGGATAGAGGATGGAAATACATTTTTACCTGCACTTTCATCTTCCTCTTTCGACCTTGTCTAGCCAGCCCAGGATGACTGTTCTGCGTTTATCTGAGCAGGTCTCAGTATCCCTGGCCTTCCAACTTGTTCATTCCCTCTGACTGCTCTGGGCACACATACCCAAGCTGTGAATGCTACAAGTGCACCCCTTTGTCTGCCAAGAATACAGATGCAGTTAGTGCACTGCAGCCATCCCCCCAGCTTCCATGGCACAGGTGCTGGTCTGAGCTGCTGCTCGTGCAGATGGAGAGCCAAGGGGCCTGAGAGCCTCCGCCATGCTGGTGAGGGTAGGAGCCATCCTCATGGCTCTTGGAGGGAGAGGGGTTGGATTAAGGGTACACACACCTAAAGTAAACCAGGCTTGGCCAGAGGCAAGTGTTTGGCTGTGGTTAGCACTCTCTAGTATTCATAGAAAATCTTTTGTTTGCCTAGTTCCATTCTGGGCCCACAAAGGAGATCATGGAAAAGAAAGAGCTTCTAACTGCTAGAAAGGTGGATGCAAGTTGGTAAAGGATACATCAGACTTGGAAAGAAGCATGTGATGTATGGGTGGCATCTCAGTGATATTTACTTGTCTTCCCTAAAGCAGCCTGTGGACCCTCTTGCCCCAACAGGAAACTCATCCCAGAAAATGGTAGAAGAATCAATCCCCTTCTGCAGAACTGGAGCTTGTTCTTTGGCATCTGCAGGTGGTATTGCTTAAAGCAGGTGCTGCAGACCCGACACCCGTCTGCTGAGACCTCCTGCAGGGCTCAGACCCACAGGGCTCTAAAGGTCTCATGAGGCCCTTTCAGGCCCAGCCTTGTTTGGAGCTGTCTGCCAGCTCAGCTGTGGGAAGGGTCTCTGGCCTTGGACCAGGTCTCTCAAGTCTCCCTGCCTCTTCTTCCGTCTTAGGTCAGCAATGGCTCAGGCCTCAGGGATGAGCATCTCACAGGCTTGCTGGTATATGGCTTCCTCCAAAGCTGCTCCAACAGTGGTTTCCAGAGAGAGCTGGAAGAGCTGGGCCATGAGCCGTTTGTGCGTACTCACCTGCTTGTGCGTACTCACCTGCATGAGGAACTTGATGAAGACGAGCTTCAAACTGATGGTAGCAGGGCCAGCCGCTTCTACGCAGAGAGAATAGAGGCAGGTAGGCATTTGGGCCTGCCCCTTCTGCCCCAAATCTGGGCTTTGTTTTTTTCAGTAACATTAGGGGACCCTGAGGGCTGGGAGGAACCTTTGGGCCCAGTCTTTACCTCTGCAGTTTCAAGCCACAATAAGGGTTTGTGTCCTTTGGTGGTTTGTTCTGTACTTGATTCCCTCCAGGGATGCTGAGCTCCGTTATCTTCTGTTCTTGGATGAGTCCGAGAAAGTTTTTCCCTTTTGATGAGCCAGATTCTCCCTTTATGTGCTGGTCCTGATTCTCCTGTCTCTACCAATACAGAATAATATTTTTACCACACCTCCCAAGTGAGTCTGATATAATCCAAGATTGTTGTATCAGAACCACTGATCTGGATTATAGTATAACCCAAGGGGTTCTCAAACTTGAGTTTATATAATTTCAGGAACGTAAGGTGCTTTAAAAAATACTGGTGCCTGGGTCTGGCCTCCAGGGATTCTGATTTGATGGGTCTGAGGCATGGCTGGGCCTGGGGGAAGCCATGCAGGGGGTTCTGCTCACATGGGCTCACATTCCTGGAGCAGCCCAGCCCAAATCCCAGTCAGTAATGTTTGCGTCTGGGTAGCACCTTACACTTTTATTATACTTTCAGGTATATCATGAATTGTGATTTTCTGTAACAGGACATTTTAGTATTCTGAACCTCATTTCCAGTTGAGGAAACTGAGTCCCCGAGAGGGGTAAATGACAAGCCCCAAATCAAAGAGCTGGTGGATGCTGCCCTACCCCCTCCACGGTGTGGCGCTGTCTCCAGTTCATACCGTTGTAGGCTTGACCCACGCTCCTGTCCCGATCCCTGTACCTCTCCCCTCTGCCACGGGTGTTGCTGCAGCTGCGGAGACTGTCCTGAGTGCATGGCTTGGGTGTCCACACTGGGACGGTGGTTACAGTAGTGTGCACATTAGAATTACATAAGGAACTTTTTCAAAATGCACCATCCCTGGGCCCTACTTTGTCTGCCAAGTCAGGATATTTTAGGGCCCAGTCTTACCTCTGCAGTTTCAGGCCACAATAAGGGCTACAGGGGATAGTCCACTGGTCCTGATTAGAATTTCTACCCCTCATGCCCCAGCAAGCAAGGCCTAGAGTCCACCCCGGCTGTCCAGCACAGTGGGCTGCACTGCCCCCTAGTGGCCCTGGCAGGACCAGCGCCGACCCAGCCTTTCGCCCTCACCATGGTTTATATGAGGCAGGTGGGGCTGGGGCCAGGAAGGTTCCCCACAGCCAGGCTGTGCCACAAATGCTCTCTGCTGGTGAATCCAGCCAGCTTATCTTCTGGATGGCTCTTAACTGAAGGGAAGCCACTGGTCCCCTTTCTCAGGAGGAGCCTAGTTCTCCAGCCAGTCTTCTGCTCCCTCTGGCCATTGCCCTGGACCCAGTCTGGCCCAGTGGGGCTGTGGAAGGAGGGCTGCCTGGCTTTGTCCTTTCCTGGGGTGGGTGGGCTGGTGTGGGGAGGCGTGTCAGAGCCCTTGTCTGAATCTGCTTTATCTCTGCCACTCCCTGCCTGAACATACAGATTCTGGAAGTCAAGAAGATGTCATCCAGAATTTTGCCAGGCGACTGGCTCAAATAGGGGACAGTATGGACCGCAGCATCCCCCCAAGACTGGTGAATAATCTGGTGCAGCAGTTTAGGAATCCCAGCCTGTCGGAGGAGGTAAGTGAAGGATGACATGGGGTGAGTGGGAAGGGTGAGGACTGTTTCAGTGACCAACTGAACCAATACAGTCTGTTCTCTGTCTCCTGTCAGGCCAGTGTCTGGTGAGGTGGCTCAAAATAGTCAAAGCATGGTTAATTATTTCTGAGAAGCACTAAGTCAGTTGACATTTAGGAAACTTGAACCTTAAGTCAGAGTCAAGAGTTTAGGGATAAAAGCCTCAAAAAGATTTACAAAGTGTATGTGATGCCCCCGGAGATGACTTACTCCTTCCTTAGTTTTAGGGAGTTGAATAAAGATGCCGATAGAGAACTTTAAATCCCTCATTCACGTGACAAAAAGTGACAATTTAGCCTGGTACTCTTCTTGGCTTGGTGGGTGTAATCCATACACAGACACTTGCTGGACACCGTGGGGACAGAAGACTGGCCCAAGGCACTGTGTCCTTGCCAAGGACACTTAGCAGGAAGGAGAACTACATACTCCAAGGCGTCAAATACGTGTCTGTAGCGACAGTTTAGAGAGGGGAAAGGTTCCATTCCGTTACTTCTGCCTGCTGAAAACGCAGGTGCTCACTACCTGGAAACTTAGCCAGGCTTCAGGACTCAGCAGGTCCGGCCTGCCATCTTCCCCAGGTGTTGGGGTCCCAGCACCCCCTCCCACAGGATGTCCCCAGCAGCACTCAGGCATCGAGCACTGCTCCGCCCTGGGACCTCTCCCCAGCATTAGCTTACTTCTGCAGTGAGTCGTGAGCTTGGGGATCCTTTCCAGCCCAGCAGATTCTGTCTGCTCTCTCCTCACACACTGGGGTGTCGCGTAGAGCCCCTCCCTGCACCTCCTTTAGCCAGGCCTGCACCAGGAGGACCGGCCTGGGATGTCTTAGGCAGTAAACTGCTCCCTGAGTTTAAGTGCCTCCGGGGCAGGGGTGACTTGCATCCTCTCAGTGTCTCACGGTGGACACACTAACCTTCCCTTTCCATTGCCCCAGGAAACAAAGTTGTTTCCGGTTCTCTCCACCTGGCACCCTTAGCTGCTCAGTACGCGCCGCCCTCTGACGTGCTTCTGTGTGTTCATCGAGGGGCTGTTTTTTCTCTGAGAGGGAAAACTGTTCAAGCCAGTTCTGGGTGACCCTCTGTCCCCTTCTTTCCTCGGTACAGAACAGAAGGGGGCACCTGGCTGCCGCCTTGGAGCAGGTGATGCAGACCTGCCCTGCAGACTTGACGGAGGAGAAGGCCACGCTGCTGCTGATCATGCTACTGGCCAAAAAGGTGGCCGATCACACGCCATCTTTGCTCCCTGTTGTCTTTCGCACGACAGTGAATTTTATTAACCGGAACCTGCTCGCCTCTGTGAGGAACTTGGCCAGAAACGTAAGCACCGGTGAAGTCGGCCCCTCGCCATTGCCCTGAGCTCTCGTCTGCTGCCCAGGCCACTTCCGTCTGAGGTGTGGACACCCAGCAGGGCCTGCTGCCGCAGCTCTTCTCTCCCTGCTGCTGGTGGCCGCCCCGGGAAGTGTCACAGACCTTCCTGCTCTGGTAGGAAGGCTCACGGCTTTGGCTTCATGGGCAAGAAAGCTGTGCGGTAGAAAGTGACATCAGACACCTCATGTCCTTTTGTGCTTTGTCAGCTGTATGCATGAGACGCACTTCTCTCAGAGGGGAGGGGAGGGCCACGTACTCTTGCTGGGATCCTGGCAGGTGGTGGGCGGCCCCCCCCCACCCCCCGCCCCAGCATGGCAGGAAGTAGGTGGCTGGCCCCAAGCTGAGCTTCCTCAAGCCACTGTCAACCTCACCTTGACACAAAAATCAGTGAGTGTAAATTCTTACATCACATGCTTATTAAGGATGAGGGGTAGAGAGACCAAAGGAATAGTCAAAAAAGGAGAGGAACCTAAAATCTTCCCCTGAACACATCTGTCCCATAACCTGGGTATTAAAAGTCACTTTTAATAACCAGGGTTTTGGAAGTGACGCTGCTGCCAGGAAGGCCCAGTCCTCAGAACCTGGTGTTTCAGTTTCACACATGCAAATGGATGTCACATGGATGTGTCTTATTTGTAAATTTAGAAATATTAGGGAATGTTTGAGATGTGTCAGAAGGATTACTCAGGCTTCCTTAGCCTTTTTTTTTTTTTTTAAAGCAACTAATACTCTTCATGTTTACTGCTAAGCCTTGAAAAAACATTTCAATGTGCCATGGTCTTCAGTTACACAAGGCATTTTAAAAACAGGAGAATGGGCAGCACCTGTGGCTCGAAGGAGTAGGGCACCAGCCCCATACATCAGACGTGGCAGATTCAAACCCGACCTCTGGCCAAAAACTGCAAAAAATAAATAAAATAAATAAAAACAGGAGAATGAGTATAAATCTTAGATCAAGCTGAACTATTGGAAGGAGGTGGACAAATTTTCCCAACCACCAACTACAGGGAACTAGTGAGCAGATGTCCACAGCAGTCTGCACTCACAGCCCAGCAGACACTATCAGGCTAAGACAGTCATAGCTCCTCGCTCACCCACTAAGACACTCTTGACACGGTCAGTGATTTGGGAGATGCACAAGCCAGGTCTCGGCGCCTGGGGACCCTGTGTTTTCGCAGCTGTTCCCAGGTAGCAGAAAGCAGGATGCAGGGATGGAGGGCTCTGGAGAAGGCATTTTTGCACAAGCCCCAGCTTTGCTTCTGCTGACTGTGGCACTAGAGTTCTGAAGCACCAAGGCCCGGCTGTGAATTCTTCTGGCTGATTCTGGCTGTTTCTCCTTTCTTGTGCTAGATGGACTGAACAGAGGACAGCAGAAGCGTGACTGGCTAAAGCCTGATGTGGTGACAGCAGTGCAGCTGCCTCCAGTGGAGATGGAGCCCCGTCCTTGTAGAGAAGACAGGCACTGAACAATAGCTATTTATTTCCCACTATTTGAAAATAGTGATCCATTTAGAAATTTCCACATTAATATACTTGAAGGAAAATGTCAACTTGCACATACTTGAATGGGTTTCATACCATCTCCTCAGTCTACACATTGTGCCTTTATCTCATTTCAGCTGTTAATTTTTAGATAAAGCTATTTCTTGGTCAAGAAAATTACATTTAAAAGCAGGTTTTAAGACAGAAGAACAAAACACAATGTCTATTTATTAAAGTATACCCTTGGGGGATGTTCTTACAGCAGGCAGCCTCCCGTCTGAGGAGAGCAGGGGGTGGGGAAGAAGTGCACGAGCTCCTCACAAAGGGAAAATTACATTGAAATCAGAACATCTTAATATAAGGAAGCAACAGTTTTCCTGTTAGAAACCAAATGGCACAGGGGCCCTGGACTAAACTGCTGTATCGAACAGTGAGAAGCTCCAGCCTCATTCCAGGTCAGCCGTTCTCAACCTGTGGGTCACAACCCCTTTGGACTGTATTAAAGGTTTGCAGCATTAGGAAGGTTGAGAACCACTGTTCTAGGTGTTTGACTTTTTCAACTTGGTGTCCTTTTGTCTGAGTCAAGAAGAACTGTAGACTGTTAAAAGGTGTGAAGGTGATTTAAGGGCTCCTGTCAACCAGTGTTTCTTGTATCTGGTAACTAAATGTACTTTTTTTCTTTCCAAGAAGCCAAGGTTTTGCTTTTTTTTTTTTTTTTGAGACAGAGTCTCATATGTTGCCCTTGGTAGAATGCTGTGGTGTCACAGCTCACAGCAACCTCAAACTCCTAGGCTTAAGCCATTCTCCTGCCTCTGCCTCTCAAGTAGCTGGGACTACAGATACCCACTACACGCCCAGCTATTTTTTGAGATGAGGTCTTGCTTTGGCTCAGGCTGGTCTCCCTCCTCTAAGCTCAGGCAATCCTCCTGCCTTGGCCTCCCAAGTGCTGGGATTATGGGCCTGAGCCACCGTGTCTGGACTCCAAGGTTTTGCTTTAAAATATTTTTTTTTTCTAAAAATTTCAAGCTGTGGGCAATCAGAAGCTACTGCATATGTCCTGTGAGTAGCCTGTGGTCTCAGGTTCCAGTCATGCCCCCACCTCATCCTTGCCCAAGGAGCTGCGTCTGGAGGAAATAGATTTCTGGCATGAAAGATGAGAGAGCAGTTAGATTTCTGAAAATTCAACAATTGAAGGGGCTCCCTTTCCTAGGGACATAGTCAAACCCAAGTCACTTAGGTGGTGCCAACATAAACAAGGAAAATCTTAGGTTTAGAAACAATGCAACACTAGTCTATTGTTCCCAAATATCAGCTATTTCCACGTTCCTTTTGGAAAGATGTTTGGATAACACTTAGAGATCTAAAATTAGACCTGCCATTCGATCCTACAATTCCTCTACTAGGTATATATCCAGAAGACCAAAAATCACATTAGAACAAAGATATTTGTACCAGAATGTTTATTGCAGCCCAATTCATAATTGCTAAGTCATGGAAGAAGCCCAAGTGCCCATCGACCCATGAATGGATTAATAAATTGTGGTATAGGTACACCATGGAATACTATGCAGCCTTAAAAGAGGAGATTTTACCTCTTTGATGTTTACATGGATGGAGCTGGAACATATTCTTCTTAGCAAAATATCTCAAGAATGGAAGAAAAAGTATCCAATGTACTCAGCCTTACCAATTTATAGCTTTCATATAAAAGGTATAACCCAATTATATCCCAAGAAGAAGGGAGGGGGGAGGATGGCTGGAGGGAGATTATTTGGTGGGACCACACCTACAGTGCATCTTACAGGGGTACCTGTGAAATTTACTAAGCGTAGACTATAAATGTCTTAACATAGTAACTAAGAAAATGCCTCAAAAGCTATGTTAACCAGTTTGATGAAAATTAAAAAAAAAAAAAAAAAAAAAACACTGGGCGGTGCCTGTGGCTCAAAGGAGTAAGGCACCGGCCCCATATGCTGGAGGTGGCGGGTTCAAACCCAGACTCGGCCGAAAAAAATTTTAAAAAACCCTGACGCATGGGTGCTGGGGTATATCTCAGACATTTTCTTATTAAAGGACACTCTTATTACTGTGAAGATGATGTTTTTGAGGAAGCATATGAACAATAAATACTTTCTTGTTACCCAAACACTTCTGTTTTAAATCTTAAGAGTTTAAATTTGGCTCGGTGCCTATAGCTCACCCGCTAAGGCGCCAGCCACGTACACCTAAGGTGGCAGGTTCGAATCCCCAGCCCGGGCCCGCCAAACAACAATGA